TTGAATAAATCTTTTTATTTATTGTTGTTTCTGTTGTTTTGCTAGGTTTTGAATAAAAATTTGTAGAGAAAAAGCGTTTAAAACAAGATAGATGTAGGTGTTCCGTTTATTTAGTGGCACCCTGTATGTTCAAGGTGAATGTTTACTCGGCAAACTGAGCCTATAAAAATGCAAGATGTACTCAAAAAAAGAAGTCTAATAAAAACATAATAGAAAATCAGCAAACCACTGCTAGTACAACGATACAGGATAGAAGTATGTCATAAGATATCTTTTCTCTGATTGTACGAACATGTAATCTAATTTAGACTACGAATCACACTCAGATACTGAATGCGATCCTTCTATTATTACGTTGCGAATATGGTGAGCATAAGGAGGAAGAAAAGTTACTCGTCTCACAAATGTTTGTATGCCCTTCGCTTTGCCTCTAAACGATTTCTGTTACATCTAATGTCTCGAAATAAAACGGGTCACCTGGCACAATTTCTTAAAAGTTGGACAGAGCGAATCAGATGCTGATGTACAGCCAACAATTCGAATAATTAAACGTAAAAATCAACCCGCTACAACGGTTACGGATATTGAACATAACTATTCAACAGAACGAAAAAAATCTAAGCTGTTAACCGTGGCCACCGTTCCAGAATTACTTGAAGTTGATGCTCCTTCTAGTTTCAAGAAAAGTATTCAACAAGTAACCGACCCCATTCATCTACTTTCGATGATTTTAGCGAAATCAAGAAACGTCAACTGGAAAAGTCATCAAATGTGACACACAGACAGTCTTCAGTAGGTATTCATCATCAAACTGAGCCAGATAATGAACATCCATCAGCACCAGCCAATTTACCCAAACAACGCGATTTTACTGTATCTGAGATGATAGTAGGATATGTCAACGATTGCGTTAACCCATATTATCCTTTGGTATGCAACGAAAACCGATTTTCGAGGGCTAAAAGGCCGAAAACCCTATTAAGATGTACTGGGCATTGTTCACCTAAGCTAGCGGGGTGTCCTTTTCAATATGAGGTGATTGTACGATCAAATGGTACGATGCGGGTGACATGTAATGGTTCGATTATCCGCACACAACAACGACTTCACGCACCAAGGATTCGCGAATCGGAACAAGAAATTCTGCGAAATGACTTTTCAAAAGGCGCCAACCCTAGGTTAGTGTTTCACGATAGATTGTTGAAAATAAAACCGAAAGCGATAATGCCTGGGAATCGAGATGGTGTTGGCAAAAGTGTACATATATATCACAGGATCGCATCGTGGACCACTGCTAAATTGACAACCGACTGTTTTGACAGTCTCGCGGCACTCTAAAAAGAATACGAACGAACAATCATGCCAAATACACCAGTTCCAGGGATTATCAGCTATCGGCGGTAAGGTCAGCTTTTGTGTGCTTAAACATTTTAATCATTTTAACCAGAGATCGACACAGATCACACGACGTCTTGGAGACTTCCGCTTTGCCGAAAAGTGTCATAAACGGCTCATAAAAGCCTTATATGGGATTAGGGATTGATAATATTAAAAAGTTGGTAGCTTTCCAACAGTTGATCAGCAAACAATGAATCGGCCGAGAGTATCAAACGCTTCAGTGAACTCAGGATTGAAGGATTGAAAGATTAAAGGATTAAAGAAAGTGCTGGGAAGATCAAGCTATAGTCTACCTTTTCTGCAGTGGACCCTGAAAGTGAACGGACGCTTTAAGAGGATATTTTGTAGTGGTCTCAACTTCAGAATGACACGTAGCGTAACAACTAGTGTATATCTTGATATTTGTGATCTTGTTGCATGATTTTTGACTGAGTTATGAGCTTTTGAACTTTTTAGGAAAAGTGGTGAAAAACTGATATTGCCGAGCATATTCCTCAAGCACAACGCCAACAACAAATTACTCAGTCACAATATGTCCAACCTATTTCCTTTCAACAATTAAAGAGAGCTGTATCAAGTAATTTACCATGCTTTTTGATAGAATTTGATCCAGCTGTAGATAGTAAAGAAATTCTATCTGATATATTTGCTTCAACGAGAGTGATGATGTTTTCAGCTATTGAATCGTTCACTTTCTCCTCTTCCTTTTTTCTACTTCAATTCTACTTTAGTTGCATTGCAAAGGACAACTATGAAAATGGAGTTAATCATATAAATATATGAAATAAATCTTATTCTTTGTTCTTTTTTGTCTGATTGTTAAAAAAATCATTTAAAAATGTACTATTTCTAATGGTCGTCTCTAGTATTGAAAAGAAAAAGTTTAATTGATATAGAAAACATATACGCTTACGAATAAAAATATTCTCTTGTTTATGTAACAAAAAAACGTGAAGGTCGTTCAACATCCAACATACAATTATGCTTAGAACGGTCTAACAAAAACTAAATGTAAGGGTGAAAATCTTCAGTTAAAGAAAAATAGTAGTCGTAATTCACTTTATACGAAGAAAAGTACACTCACCCTCATGCTTCACCTTCCTCCCTGTAAATATTAAATGGCTAGGCATCTGAGGAGCCTATAACGTAGAAACCTGTACAAACTATAAATATTTGAGTATCAAATACTGAGATATTGCATTTTGCGTTTAAAAAGGGGGAAAAGTGCAGATTTTGCTCTCAAAATGCCAAATACGACTTTTCGAGATGCTCGTCTATTTTTGAATGCTGTAATGCAAAATCAGGTTATTTTACATTTCGGAATGGAATTGCAGAGTGCAGTTTTCTAAAAGGAAATTACCACACGTGCATCTTAGTCATTACATACACTCAGAGGATCATTTAACAAATTCTCATCCTTATACCTTACTTTACTTCTGACATAAATAAGATCTAACAATACGCATAAACGCTTTAAATACTGCTGGACGAATAACTCCACTTAGAGATGCATAAAAAGTTCAGAACGTTTCATTAAGATCGTCAGTAGGTTACTTGTATCACACGAGCAGTTTCACTCGGAGCTTTATAGTCAGTTACGTATATCTGTTAATTCCAGCTTCGAAAAGCATTACTATTAAAGAGCTTTCGATTTTTACACATGCATTTTCTTCAATAGAATATAAAATTCTAATATCGGCAATAATTGTAATTTTACGTCTAACAACTCAATATCAGCTGAATGACAGGATGCATTATCGAGAAGGATGGTAAAAAACCGTTTCGCCAAAAGACAATTCGCCATGGCGAAATGTCATGTGTCGTTTCGCCAACTGGCGAAATGTCATGTGCCGTTGAAAATAGTGATAGTAGTTGGAAGTATTTGTGAAGATGAAGAAGGAGGAAGAAGGAGGTAGAGACTATGTGAAGATGTATTTTGAAAGTGTAAATATCTTTTTTCTTTTTTCTTCATTTTTAAGAACAGGTGTTTTTTTACTAAGTTGAATTAGATAAAACGCAACGCTATTTGAAAAATTACATTTATTTTATTCCCCTATGTCTTTTGTTGTGACATCGTTCTCATGTTTATTTGTGTTGGAATTAGTACGCATTTCTAGCATTTCTATTTTCAAGACTCTGTGTTCGTAGATATTTGTTTTTAGTTTGTTTGAAAATATATATTTCGAGGGAGGTTTCCAGGAAATTGTCTTTCGGCGAATCGTGCTCTGGCGAAACGTCAGAGATTCCCCAAAATTTTGCGTACACAAAAGATGTTAAAAAACCGTTTCGCCATGGCGAAATGTCAGTGCCGTTTCGCCAAGAATTTGTACGCTTTCGCCAATTGGCGAAACGTCCCATGACTTTTCGCCATGGCGAATTGTCTTTTGGCGAAACGACAGAGATCCAGCGATTCAGCAATTTTCTCACAGATTAAGTTAGCTAGAATCTGAGGGAAAGAGCACCGATCTTTTTATTGGGATATGGTGTCCATTGAGAAAAAAGCATTTGAGAGAACGATGTTTTCAGCGAAGAAAACGGCGAAAAACATAATAGGGAAAAAGCATTATAGCGAAGACAGCGAGAAAAAATTGCTCTCACTCGCAGAAAAAATTCACTCTCAGTCACCGTTCAATGCTCCCTTGGGTTCCTAGACGCAGCGCATCTCCAACCAGCTTCAATAACAACACAAGAAATGAAAAACGACGCTCTGGCTTCACATCTCCTGATGCCCATAGGAATATGAATAATGATTTCAACAATCGAGATAATTTTCCACCACGCCCTAACATAACTCAAAGCAGCATCCATGAATTGTTCGAAGTGAGTTTTACTATCGATTTTAATATCTAGATCAACCGATGAATTTCTTTCTAGACGGAAATACCAAAGGTCTTGGAAAATCACAAGTTACGTATCGAGCGAGAAATGTCATTGATCAATGAACTGTCGGACGATGATAACCAAAAAGCGATTAGAAAACTGCTTTGGAAACAACTAAGCAACCAATCAGAAGCTTTTAAGACGATTATTAATAATTTGCGCGAATACAGACCAGAAACACCTCAAAACAGGGAAAATTATCGAAAAAGGCTGATTCGTGAAATCAGCCGTTTGTCAAATCCTTTGCCGATTCATGCCAAAAGAGAAGATTTGATTGACACAATAATTGACAATCGTGTGACCATTTTGCGATCCGAAACAAGATCCGGCAAAAGCACACAACTCGTTCAGTATCTAGTGGATGCTGGATTAGCTGATCATGGTAAGTGAACGGCTATTTTCTGAAAGTGAATCATTTTGATATACAATCCATCAGGAGACATCGCTTGTACGCAACCCCGACGTTTCGCAGTGAAGACAATGGCGTTGCGTGTCGCAAAAGAGTTCGGCTGCAGGATTGGCGAAGAGGTAAAGCAAAAGAAGACAATTGATTGATTCAGCACGTGATTGATATTTGTTTCAGGTTGGCTACCAGGTTAACAATATTGATATTTGTGTATCACAGCGAACGAGGATTCGTTTTGTGACTGAGGCTATCTTGTTAAACGAATATCATGATGACCCAAAGCTGAATGCTTATTCTGTGATTGTCATCGATGATGTTCATGAGCGTAAAGTCGATACTGATTTACTCCTTGGCGTCATGAAGAAATGTTTAGCGAAAAGGGGAAATCTCAAAGTAATTTTAACAGTGTTGAAACGCGTTGAATAAGGTTTTCATGACACATTTTCTCTCTTAAGTTGATCATCATGTCAGCAACGATAGATGAAAATTTATTCAAACATTACTATCCCGGTGCTGTTTTCCTCGATTTGCCTGGAGGATTGTCTCCTATCGAAGATGAGTATTTAACGAAAAATCCGCAAAACTACTTTGATACAGCTATTGCGACGACACTTGAAATCCACGAAACTCAACTTCCTGGTGACATTCTCGTCTTTTTAACTAGCCCAGAAGAAGTACACAGAGCGATGAATGAATTGAAAATAAAACTCCGTTCATCCAATTCTGCTCTTGTTTTACCATTACATGCAAATTTGAGCACAGATGAACTCCAGCTAGCGCTTCAGCCTTCTTCAGGCTCACAGCGTAAAATCATCTTTGCAACAAATGCAGCAGAGGCATCGATCAATATCGATGGAATTCGTCATGTCATTGATTCCGGCATGGTGAAAGAAACTTTTGTCGATTTGTCAAAAAATCAACGAAGCTTTAAAATTTGTTTTACGAGTCAAAGCTCAATTCAACAGAGACGCGGTAGAGCAGGACGAACGTCACCAGGAAAAGTAAATATTTTATTGTTCGATGAAACAATCTGTTTTCTTTCGATGAATTTAGTGCTATCACCTCTATACATATGACACTTACCAATCATTGCACAAGTTTCCTCAACCTGAAATTCTTCGAATTCAACTATGTGTCGCCGTTTTAAAACTAAAATATTTTGGTGTGTTGGACGTTTACAATTTTGATTGGGTGGAAGCTCCTACTAAGCAGAGTCTCGATACTGCTATCAATATTCTGACGGCACTCGATGCTATTGATTCTGAAAGTGGAGAACTCACGACAGACGGTCGCGATATGGCAAGACTCGGCATAGATCCGATGTTATCCGCGATGATTTTGGCCGGCAGAAAGTATAACTGTTTAAGTCATGTATTAGCTCTTGCTGGAATGTTGGATACTTCTCTATCGGTTTGGACGGGTGGCACGAGTGAAAATGAAAGAAAGCCGCAAGTCCACGTACGTGTCAATCTGAGTGTTGCATCACGATCCGGCGGTGACTTTCTTGAACTACTTCACCTTTTCATTCAATGGCAAAAATCAAGTAGAGCGGTTCAAGACAATCAAGTATGGTGTCGTCAACGCGCGATCAACAGTAGATCGCTGAAAATGGCAGAAAATTTTGCCCGAGAAACGGCACGACAGATTGATTCACATTTTGAGCTAAACTCCGTCGAACTAGATGATGATCTCACTTCGAGAATAATACGTTGTATTTGCGGTGGTTTTTTCCAGCATCTCGCTGTATCAAATGGTATCGCCGACTATGGGTACCAATTGATCAATGGTTTGGATGGTGTCCATGCTAAACTACATCAATCATCAGTACTCTATCTAGCTGAAAGGGTTCCGGAATTTGTTCTATATCACAATATTTTCATGATATGCGGCGAGACTTGTATAACATTGGCTTGCCCAGTTGATCTTGATTTATTAAACAAATCTTGGATTGCGTCGTTACCAAGGCCACCCGCTGAATATAAACTTCGTTGTCACGTCTTCAATGATGTCGGACCGCTCATCATTCGATCCATATTTGGGAAAGGGCTCAAAAGTCTGACGACGTTCCGAGATGACTATAAAATATTTGTAGATATCAAATTTGAAGAAAGTCGCTTATCTTTATTAGGCTCAAGAGAAAAGCTCGAACGAGCTAAAGAATACTTTAAATCGCGCTTAGATCGAGAGAGAAAAAAATTGTTGGCACATACACGAGAGTTCGAAACTATTGGTGGTGTTCGGATTTTGCTTGGTACTGGCGCAAAAATTACCTCAGTTCTTATAGAAGACGAATACGTTAGAGTGTTGGTAAATAGTCTACCAAATGGTTTAACGGATGATGATATTTACCAGAAATTTCACCAGTGCGGAGCAGGTAAAATACTCTATTGATCAATAATATCATCGGACTGATGTTTGTAGTTCAGAGTGTAAAAATGCAACGGAAAAATGCCGATGATCAATCAGCTGTAGTTACGTTTGAAAAACGTGAAAGCGCTCGAAATGCAGTGACGAGATTATCTCGAGAAAGATGGAATGGAAGAAACGTCGACGTAATCCCCATTCGTGCCGGTACATCGACTTTTCAGTGGGGACAATACTACCAACTGAAAGCATATTGGTATATGACTGAGTCGGAAGGTCATGGTCGTATTTATTTTGCTCGAGAAAAGACTACACGACGAAGCAAAAAATTATTCAAGCATCGAGGATACCACTGTCAAATTCAAAAAATCACTCGAAATCCAGCGATTGAATGCTCTTGGCCGTTTGTGGAACATAACGGCGAAGCAACTCTATGGTTTTCAACGCCTGATCAGGCTCGACAAGTAAGTGAATGCAAACTTATTTTTGCACTCGATGAACACTGAACTGACGAAGAAGAAAATTCAACAGAGTCGAAGACCCACTTTCTCTTCTAGATCATACAAAATCAAGATTTCGCACTCTTTTCTCCAAGATTAGAAACCGAAAATGGATGTATTGTTCTGCTAAGCACGGTTCCTCAATCTGATGACGAACTAAATTTGATGAATATGTTTCCTGGCTGTACAAGGGCTCAATTAAGACGATTATCCGAGCTTGTTCTTCGTCCAAAGTCTATGAATGTTGAAAATGATGTTCGTCAATTGTTCAGCAATTATCGATCATTTATAGAAAAGTCAGTAGTGGTCTCAAAAAATCACGAAACGGGAATTTATACAGCTTATGCAGAATTTTTCGACGAACAAGAAATGAAGCAGGCTATCAAAGAAATTCACGGAAAATTAAATTTCACCGGTAAAGGAACAATGCAGATCACCGTCATCAACGAAGAGAATCGCTTGTTCAACCAGAGACGACAACAAGATAGTTCATCACATTTCGTGCTTGAGCTTTCAGAACTGCCTCCTGAAGCTAATGAAGAAATTCTTCTAGAGAATCTCCGACAAAGACAGCTCGATGTTGATGTATTAAGTATTTTTGTTCCTCGTTGTTCACTTCCTTCGACATATACACTTCCAGTGGACGATGAAAATGCTATCAATTTAGTTATGTTCGAATCAGTATTCAATGATCGAACTCGTTTCCGGAGCGAAGTAGATATACAAGTTGAGCCTTCAACCGATGATGGTCGCGTTACTGCATCGATTTTATTCAATAACCCTATCGATATTAACACTGCAATAGAAATGTATTCAAATACGAATGAAAATAATCGGTTACATTTTGGTCCATATCCAGTTCGACTTGTACCAAAACTAGATTATACGATTGAATTGCATTCAGAAATATTGAAGGCGATTCCGAACAAAGTTCAACAGACTATCGACACGATTGAGAATGATCCGGAATTTTCAACGATCAGATTAGTGAAAAACTCCATGATCGAAGGCAAAGATGATATTCTACAATGGTCAATCACAGGGTTAGACGCTCAAACAATTAACAAAGCACGAGCTTTGTTTGAAACTTTAATGAAAACTTACAGATACAAATCCGAGAATCCATCATGGGTCGATATAATCTTCAGCACAAGTGGGAAAGAATTCCTGACTCAAACACAACACGAAACTCAAACATACATTTGGTGGGACTGGGAATCAGCAGTCGTGAGAATCTATGGTGACGAAGAGTCGATGGTTCGGGCCTATTCGAAAATCGATGCATACGTTAACAACGAATTAAGTTCAAATAAGCGTTCAGTGTTTATCCCAATGCCACCTGATTGTACTATTCAACACTTGAAAAAGTCTTATGCCTTTCGTTATTTGGACAAGGGCAAAGTCAAAATTGATATTGAACCACTTCAAAAATTGATTTCGATTCGTGGAGATCAATCTATTATCGATGAATATGTCAAAAAAGTTACTGTTGTCTTGAGCAGATTGTCACGCACATCCGCTGATTCTGATAGAAGATTTGCTATTGACAATAACAGTTGTTTGTGTTGCGTGTGTATGGAAGAATCGAAGTTACCCTTCTTATTGGCAAATTGTAAACACAGTTTTTGTCGACAGTGTTTGGTTAACTCTTTTAAACGTTCATTCGACGCAACTTTATCGAGACAGGATTTTGGCATTCGCTGTCCACACTGTGACGCTGGCTTGATCATCAGTGATATTATGTCACTACTTGGATACGGAGAAGTGGAACGTCTTGCGAAAATTGGTTTCAAAATTCATCTACGCTATCAGGAGACCGATCTTACGTCTTGTATTGGAACTAATTGTGATCGAGTAAAAATAACTCTTTTATCAACGCAGACAAATCTTCATGTACACTCTGTATTTTAGGTTTATCGACCATCCAAGTATCCGTCTATTTTTGATTGCGACAAATGCATGAAAAAGAACTGTGTTTCTTGTAAAGTTGAATTCCATGAAAACTACTCGTGTGAAGAGTTTCAAAGAATACAAAAGGAAAGAAAAGACAAAGCTATTCTAGAAGAAAATCTGGGGAAATTATCTTTCAAGCCCTGTCCGGGTTGCGAAGTCCCCATTGATAAATTTGAAGGTTGCAATGCAGTTAAATGTAAAAGTTGTACGATTGCCTTCTGTTGGTTATGTTTCAAGACAGACAAAAAAGACAGTGAGATAATATTTATTGAAGTTATCATGGGATTAATGCATACTTCCCTTTTAGTTCATCACCATTTCAATGATGAACGTTCCAGCTGTTACGGCAAATGTTTTGACGTCGCATTGGATAGGATGAGATTTTGACACTTTCAGATTGAGAATGTCTTGAGGGGTGAGTAAAGCAAGTCAGGATTAGTTTCGTCCTTGCTAAAGGGACTCTTCAGTTGACTCTAATTCTTGTGCAGTTGTTCAAAATTGATTCAACACAATTAATTGAATCAATAATAAATTTGAATTTGAATTATGTGTGCGTAATTCTTGTGATTGAAGAATAAATAATCTCACTCAATTTCATGCAAATCACGAAGAATGATAATGTTTGGAGTAAAAACGCCTGAGTCAATTGAATAAAATTGATTTGTCAAGGGGGCTATATGAAAAACTAGCTGAAATACCCGGCGGTGCCCGGGAAAGTTCAGTATCGCTTGCTTGGCATATTGAAAAACGATGGTCTTATGGTTTCCTATACGTTTCTGATCGTAAATGTTGCAAAATGCACTCGGATCTCTGTTTCCCTTTTCAACTTTTTAAAAATATTTGTGTTCGTTTAATTTTTTTTGTTTAGTAGGCTTCCTTAATTCAAGATAGATGATGTGCATTGAAATACAATTTTTATTGCAAAGCTCTTTGATAGACAATGTTTTTCGTTTCTGCATTCTTGGCAAAAACATACAAATTCTTTCTAGTTTCAGTTCTGGAAAACGCTACGTAAAGTTGGCTATGAGAAAAGCAAGGCGTCTCTAGGTGAATACCAGCAACCTTACGTGACTGGCACTGAGCATGGACATCACAAAGGCAGGTCGTACTCTAAACTGCAGTCGCTTGAATTCAAGGGGCATGTCAGCAGGAATGATAGGTATTCGCGGTATGAATACATCCTCACCCTTTGCGCAGCCTGTGAATATTGTCGCGTCAACGACATGAGACTTTTTCTAAGGGACTCCCTTAACTATAACTACTAGGCGTTCTTCTTCTCTAGTTCACGTGTTGTGAGAATCGGTGTTACGATGTCTAACGTTGGAATTGCGCCTTTTTACTACCCGCTGACTATAAACGGGAAAACTGTCGATGCTACCACCGGATCTTTGATCTCAACTAAGTCGATGTCCGCTCCGATCTCGAATCAACTTGACTAGAGCTCCTTCGTTTGCAACTTCGACATGGCGGTAGAGAGCAATACAAACATACAGTTCTCCACTTGGCTCAATAGTTCACATCTTGTTGGAAACCAAGCGATGGTGTTTGCTATTTCGGGCGCTAGTGCTTCGGGAGTCATTCAGTTCCCAACTGTGTCAATTGGGTCTTGTGTGGCTAAGAGCTCTAGTGTCGCTTGTGTGTCTTATATTGCCGCTGCTAAAGCGAGCGGTACTCAAGGCACTTCGTATACTACTAATCCCGATTCTAATGTTTTCAACGACCCATGCTTTATGGCTTCTACTATCACTTCATAATCCGTTGCTAGGAACGACGGTACATCCATACTGATGAACATTATTATGATCTTCTCCTTGCTAGCACTCGGTATTATCGTGTCTGCCTTCTAGTGATGGACCGGTTTTCGAATATACCGAAATGATACCCAAGAAGGAAAGAAAGAAAACAATCATTACGTTACTGGCATTCATTTTTTTCTGCTCTTTCGGATAAATTCGAGTATAACCTATATATTCTTTCGTTCTCTCGTGAATTCTTTTCCAGGATTGAGGGGAGCGGCGCTTCCCAACCCGTCGCTGGGAGGGGCAGCCCTGGGTAATACGTAATAGTCTTAAATTATAGGTAGGAGGATTACCAAACAATTTGAAAAGAAACATGTATTGATTACGTTTTCCTCAGATCGAAATTATTACCAAACTATTATAGGTCTAGTCATAGGTGAGAAGCAAGAATGAAACGAAAATAACATAAATAGAGATGAATCTAAACTCAAAATAAATCATTCGATTAGTCGTGGTATTGAACTCAAGCCCAAACGATTTGGGTTTGGTGCATGCCTACTCATGTTCTGTTTCGGTAGAGTCAGAAGTTAAAAAAATAACAGCAGAAAACGTAATAAGTATTGCGAAGATTTTTTAAAAAGTCTTTATCTTTCCTCATGTGTTTATTATACCGATTAATCGTAACCAGATCCTGGAAGTGGCACAGATCGGGATCAAGAAAATCAGCCTGACTATCGTCAATTTCGTTGTTTAAAAAATGATCTATACCATAGTATAAAATAAGCTGATCGTCTATATTCCTTGTCCCATAGTATCCTCGACCGACATATCTCACAAAATCTTCGAAAGGAAATGTAGAAGTCGAGGCTAAGCTGCCAAAGTTTTGATACATTTCAGAATAATGATCATGTAAATGCAAGGAAGAAAAAGCGAACTTCTGAACCACGAGTCCAAGAGCTCCTGCAATGCGCAACGTCAACCAGCTTCCACATACAACATCTCAGTTAACATCTAATTCGTATACTCATAATTCACAAGCTATGTGCTCCACACGGTGTTCACTGTTGTCGCAAACATTTACTGTCCTCTAGCCGACTTGATCCTGAGGAGTGACTGGGTGTGATCGATACATTCTGCAAACGGGATATGAGCCGAATATCCCTGCTTTTTTGAGAAAAGGGCAAATCGCTGAATGTGAAAAAATCTCTCTTTTTTAGTCAGTGAAATACAGCTATTTTACGCGCAAGGACGATGAAATGAGGTTCTGAGATATGAGGTCCTTTCCAAGAAAAATTCAAAACTCATTCTAGGAACATCAGTTCTACTTCAAACTCACAGTAAATACTTTTCGGTAGCTGTAGACTATCCAATCAAAGTAAGAAGGTTAAGGTGTCGTCAAATGAATTGTAAACAGTCACTCTTTTATTAAATAATTTTGATAACATAAATTATTATTTATTTTTAATAATATTTCATTACTTCAATCCAAATTTAAATTCATAATGTATTATGATTAAAATTTCGTCTTATCTATTTGTTGATTGAATGTGTTGACGATTTTTCTCTGATGTGTTCATGATAATGTTACTATACATTGTACACGAATAGTACTATTCATAATACTAATAGATAAATTTAATAAAATAAATTCTTATTAAATGTTGACGTGATAAGTGAATTATCGTTAAGTCAATGGTCCGGATGATGAGTTTAATATCATCGTAGAACATCGACTCGAAAAACACCGCTTGGCCACTTGTGCAACTCAATATAATCTGGAAGATACTCGACTACGAGATGAATGTATTGTATGTGGTTTTATAAAAACAAAAGATAGTTTAGTTTGCGACGCCTCTAAGTGTAATAAATTTGTACATGTTGGCTGTATTGGTGTCACGGAAGTTAGAGCGCAAGCGTTGACATGTTTAACATGGAAATGCCACATACATCGTCAAATAAAGTAAAAATGCGTTATTAGCTCTCAAAAAAGATTTTGTTGTATGTTTTTTGTAAACACTGAATGTATTTCAGCTTTTTTGTTACTTCTCAAAGCATAGCAGATAAAGAAAAATAGATACGCAGATACACTTACTTTATTCAAATGATCAAAATTTTGGTGTACATTTAACCAAACTTGTTCGTCGAGTTTTCCATGTGGTATAAGCTTTTTTATTTTTTTGTTAAAATTTTCCAGCACAAAGTCAAGGCCTTCTCCCTCCCTAATATCATCGCTTGTACTAACTAAGCGCGTGAGATGAGAATAAGCTCTATAAGAATCATTTTGTTCGAAGAACTGACGTAGCTCATTAGGCATTGTTTTTCGTAATATCGAGTCATTTATCAGGACAAACTGATATTTTGGATGATTACTAGTAAAAAATAAGATTGATAGAATAAATCGAGCTTCGTTTAATAATGTTGCATTGTTTAAACGTATCCCTGTTCTTAGTGTGAATATTGTAAACAATCATAAACATGCAGTATGGGTAAAGAAATTGACATTTAGTGAAGATTTTGAGCTCAAAGCCCATTTGATGAACGTTTCATAGGAGGTATTTTTCGAATTTAGCTTATTATTATGTAGATATTCATATACTAGCTCAAGGACATTTCCATATAATGCTGTAGTAAGGATTTCAAAGGTTTTGTGGTGATCTGAACAAGATTTTACATAAAATTTCGCTTTCTCAGATTTGAAACGTAAGCAGTCGGCGAGATCATATCCGTAAATAGGCCAGATAAATCTCATAAATGATTTACAAGCATTCATTTCGACATGACCGAGGCCTGGACGAAATAAAATATTCTTAAATTCGACGTACATGAAACGGTTATTGCTGGTTTTAGAATTACGATGTGTGGTAGTATAATGAGTGACTAAATCATCAAATTCTAATGACTTGTAATCACACAGTAAGCACGTGTAGTTATTAATAAATAGTTTCCAGGCTAAACAGTATGGTGAAGCATCAACTGTAATTGTCGTCCACTTTCTTAACTGATTAGAATCAGCGGTCGATTGTAAACATTTCTCTTGTAGGTCTCGTAAAATGATCAGAATATTTTCGAATGATCCTGGATTTAAAATATACGGATTACCCAGTTTGACACCTCGTTTACCTTTAGGATGTAGCGACGGAATCTGTTCAAATGTATGTTTTAGTTTGGTGCTGATAATTGTTTTTGCTGGATTTGTAGGACGAATTAGTTTTTTGGAAA